TAATAATTGATCGTCGAAAAAGATTGATGACCGCATGTACTGAACGCGCACGTCATTTTAAAGCTCCGAGGTGATTATTTAATGCAAATTATATTATTTCTAGTATATACAGTCTTTATTGCTCTAATTTACATCAGTTGATATACCCTTTTCTGTACTCTGTAAAATACGACAAATTTTTTATTCAAGTATTTGAAGAAAATTAATATATATGAAATTAATATACGAAATATTCGCATAATCATTCCAGCATAATTTTTTTATATTTCAGTTTTAATACATTACATTTACTCAGACTCTTTATTCAGCAATAGAAATGTTTCACAGTACTATTCTTCAACATAAAATATGAGACTGGCACTGCAGATGGCACTGGCAGGAGTGCCACCGCCCGACATGCACTGCGGCGTGGCAGCGCTGGCCGTGGCACCACCACAGCGCTCGGAAGCCTTACGTGGCTCACGTGTGGAGGTCTTCTTAGTCTCGACGAGTTACACCAGGAGAAATGAGTGGACCGTTTGTCCTAATAGCGATGCACCGGAGGGATGAGTGGACCGTTTGTCCTAATAGCGATGCACCGGAGAAATGAGTGGACCGTTGTCCTAATAGCGATGCACCGGAGAAATGAGTGGACCGTTTGTCCTAATAGCGATGCACGGAGAAATGAGTGGACCGTTGTCCTTAAAGCGATGCACTTATAATTGACCTTGTGTGGGCAACCCTACAAAACCAGAGAAAAGGACGTATCAGTGATACGTGTGCTATCTGCTCGTGCTGTGGGTAAGAAAGAGTGTCACTATTTGGACAATATGACCGATTCATGTTTCAGAGTGTACTTTCTGTTACATGGCTCGACCCTGAACCTGTAAATGTAAGAGGTCCGTCTAAATATCTAAGAGGTCCGTCTAAGAGGTCCGTCTATGAGGTCCGTCTAAGAGGTCCGTCTAAGATGTCCGTCTAAGAGGTCCGTCTAAGATGTCCTTCTAAGAGGTCCGTCTAAGAGGTCCGTCCAAGAGGTCCGTCGTACTTTTCAAAAGAATCCTGTTTGCAGCTGAATCCAGCCTGCCATATTAGGAGTAATGAAGCATTCCAAATAAGGTTTAAAATTTTATCAAGCACAAGTCGCAGTACCAAATTTAGGGCACGCCAAACAGAAGTAAAAAACGTTAAGACGACGAAAAATTTCAACAAGTTGGACGAGTTTTCAGACTCGGGGCATTACAGACCAAATATGCCACGACCAACTCAGAAAACATCATCCTAAATTAAAAGCATTTTTGTCAGGAGCGTCACGCGTAGCAAAATTTTTTCCCAAAATATTTTTTCTGTAGTGGGTTATGTTTTCCGATACCCAGAGAAAGAATGTTATTGTATAAGCCAAAATGAACATTTGTTTAATATACTGATGGTTTATCATTCGGACAAGCTTAAAGTTTATAGAAGAAGTCCACAAAACTATAAGATTTATTTGACTGTTAATAATTTCATACCCATACCAAATCAGGGGTATCCAAATACGGGTTCGCAGAGCAAAGGCTCAATAAAGTGCATCTTCAGAAAAATAAAAATAAAAACCCATGCCGCTCCTGTGTCCGGTTAGCAGGAAAAAACATAGCATGACTTTAAGCTATGCCTACAGCGCTGCAAGTTTTTCACGCTCCCGCCATGCAGCATGTACAGTATCAATAATTTCTCTCGCCGCTGCAATCCACGCGGTTCGCTTCTTACGCGAGAGGAAGATTCCTAGCGGGCATGTTTTTGCGCTATGATATATAGGACACCGCGGAGAACTAACGCGCCGCGTGTCTTTAGTAAAATTTCTAACGACTTTCACACTACTTCCGAATAGCTGAGATGAACCTCTAATGATGATAGTGCGTCTATTTATTAGCATGTAAGTGATGGCATCGTTACTGCAGTTGATCAAACATTGTAGAAGCTTGCCTCAGTCACGAACATTCTAACAATCCTCAAGAGAATGAGTGTCAGAGACTAACGCTATCTACAGGATAAGCGAAACAGCGACTATTGTTTGCAAAACTCGCATGGGTCGCGTCGAATTCTGAGTCACAATCGTCTAAATTTTGCCACGACTCCCGATATTGTAAAGTTCCGACACTGTCGACTTCCGGGGCTGTACAATGTATTGTACAACACTGCACAATGCAGCATCTACTGCACAGCCAGGGCGTGCTCACCTGTGAGCGTGGGCAGCCTGTGGCTCAGAGTACCGATGTAGCGTGGACGCAATGAAGTGCCGCCACGTCAGCATCCTATAACAAACTAAACTTAAGTCTCTCAAACATCATCACATGGTTTATTAATTTAGTAATGGTACTTAACAGTTCGAGTTTATTTCATTAAGTATGATTAACATTGACGTCCACAACTTCGGCTCCAATCACCGATAATAATCAGCAGAATACGCATGTACAATTTGTGTATCCGCAGAAAATGTAACTACTCAACCAATTAACGAGTATTAACTTCCACCAAAAGAAGAAAACTAAGGTTTGTTTCAGCAAAAACTAAACCTGAAAACAAGCAACTTTATTGCACTGGTACAGACAAGACAAGCGCCTTGCGAACGTAGAAAAGAACGCAACTGTGAGCAGTGGTCGCGATCAAGCTCCGACTCACAATTAAGCGGAGCAAGCAAACCGGTGCCAGGGTCAAAAACAGGAATAATTAGCCTGGAAGCCGCCAAATCATCTTTTGTTCAGCAGGAAACTATTAGGAATTTTTCTCAGCTTGCGGGCCACTACCAAAAAACGGCTCTGACCTCCTTAGTAAATGACACCCAAAAATTGATCATCCCGAGAGAGCGACACTTAACCTTTTTGTGATTAATACATGGGCGTAATCAACAGTCAAAAAATTGCACGTTACAAGTCGCATTGTGTTGAGCAAAATGTTCGGTTATCGACAAGGATCAAATATCTATAATTAAGATAATACGATGTCACCAAATTTGATTTTTTTTCTTGCTCAGTGCTCGAATGCCATCAACTCCGAGTGCCACTTAAGAAACCACGGATTTAGTTTGATTGAAAAAGACTAATTGTCCAGAAAAACAATCAGGAGGGAATTCGTTCGCCTTCACTTGTTACACAAATAAAGCAAGCGTAAGCAGACATAAAGTTAATCGTTTAACGTTTTACCACTTCAGAAAATTTAGCGATCGGATCATCCTTGAAAATTTTTGGCGCAGATCTGCTGTAATTTTCACGCATTGACTAAACACGATTTCTCTGCAGGCATCAGGGCTCTAATTAACAGCGCATCTACTTATCGCAGTGACAACAAAGACATCACGTTGTACCAGCGACAGAACAATGACCGTTCGACTGATAGCACCGGTGCATGAAACAGCAACATGTTGGACGACGAAGCAGTGAGCCGCCGGGAATGAATTTCCCAGTCAAAATCGGGGTCATTTTACATGAGATCAGGAGCGAAACAGACGACCATGAGTGCGGAGAGGGCAAGTGGCCACCTCGCCGAGAAGTAGTCTGGCTTATGCTCATAAATCGCTGTATTTGCTGCTTAAGTCAAGCCTGATTCTCATAATAGATTCAAGTATGTGTGCATGACTTTATGGATCAAAGGAGCACCTTTGCACACACGAGAACACTCGTATGTGCACTTATCGTCACAGGCGGATTAACTGAATTGGCCGCAGTTCAATCGTTGTAAGCATGTGGGCAAATAACAACATCCGAAGAACTCGTGAACGTTACAATGGTTCTCTTATAATTTATTTTGTTACAATAAAAGCGCCATTAGTTCCCATCAAAACTTTTTCGGTTTATTGATTGTTCCTGTTATTATAGGCTGACCCAGAAGCTTCGTTACACACCTAGGACAGACTGTAAAGTTTTTCTCGAACATAAAAACCGCTTCAGGAGTAACTCCTGCTGTATTCAAAACAATTTCTTTTGGCTTTGAATTAATGAAAACGGTTGAAAATATCGGAATAATTTACGAATAGAAGGACGATAACTTAACCAAGATCGTGGCCCGCATTGAATAGATCTCTTCTGTACAATAATACCCCATGAAACCGATTGATTCCAGACGTCAATTAATGTCTGTTAACTTGCAAATGACCGAAAACAATGGATTGAATTGTTACTAGTAAAATGAGGCTGAAAGCTGCAATTCCAGTTTCTTATAAAGAACTCCGATTTATCACGTATGGTAGGTTGCAGATGGTATGAACAATTCAACAAAAAATAGGCAGGTGGCAGAAGGTACGAAGTAGACCCTGGCACCTGCCATGCGTTGAGTAATACTGTCACGATCGTTCCCGCTTGAACAGCCCACACCGCCTGCAGGAAGCGCTGGTAACGCAACACCGGAAAAAGGGACGCCTTTACGGCGGCCACCATCACCTGGTTTGGGTGGAGGTAGGGCGCCTTTACGGCGGCCATCATTGCCTGGTTTGGTCGGAGGGAGGGCGCCTATACGGCGGCCACCATCACCTGGTTTGGTCGGAGGGAGGGCGCCTATACGTCGGCCACCATCACCTGGTTTGGTCGGAGGGAGTGCGCCTATACGGCGGCCACCATCACCTTGTTTGGGTGAGGGAGTGCGCCTATACGGCGGCCACCATCACCTTGTTTGGTCGGAGGGAGGGCGCCTATACGGCGGCCAGCATCACCTTGTTTGGTCGGAGGGAGGGCGCCCATACGTCGGCCACCAATCACCTGGTTTGGAGGGAGAGAGTGCGCCTATACGACGGCCACCATCACCTGGTTTGGGCGGAGGGAAGGCGCCTATACGGCGGCCACCATCACCTGGTTTGGTCGGAGGGAGGGCGCCTATACGTCGGCCACCATCACCTGGTTTGGTCGGACGGAAGGCGCCCATACGTCGGCCACCATCACCTGCTTCGTCGCCTATACGGCGGCCAAGACTCACCTGCTTTGTTGTTGTTGTTTATTTGTTTTTTGAGGATATGGGTTTGTCCCCCATGTCCCTCACGGCTCAAAACTCACCAGGTTTGGGGATCTTGGGGGCCTTGGCAGGGGCGGCGGGAGGGGGCGAGCGGTTGCTCGCTTTCTGCACGGCCGTTACCATGGCGACCACAATACGCACACCACAACACTTGTTCTAACTCATCACAGCGTAAAGTGTGATTTATGATCTTAGGAAGTTTCACTTTAATTACTTAGAGATAGTCGGTAGTTTCCTACGTATCACGAGCCAATATACATCCAAAGATAGAATAGTCCTTGGATAGTCTCATGTAATTCCCAAATTACTAAAATTATTCACAGAATCTGTTGAAAAAAGGTTATTGATATTAAACAAAGATATTACTGGTAAAACAAAGAATATTGATATTAAACAAAGGATATTGCTGGTAAAACAAAGATATTGACATCGAACAAATACCAGGCAATAAGTCCAGCAGCTATCTCAATCAATCGTCAGTTATGGAAAGATCGGGTTCCAAAGGCCGGATCCCTTGTGAATCAAGTCACAAACAAATTCAAGAATCGGCATCAGGCCGTGGGCCTATTTTTTCAGTACCGACACTTCTATTCTATTCTATTCTATTCTATTCTATTCTATTCTATTCTATTCTATTCTATTCTATTCTATTCTATTCTATTCTAAATAATATTGAGCTCAACACGAATGTCTTAATTATACGTCCGACGTAGACGCAATCACGGAGGTCACGTGCTGCTTCACGTGGAAATGACGAGCTGTCCTCGACCTGCCACGCGACGTGGTCAGTAATACAGGGAACATAACACGTCGTGACGAAGGCCAGGTGCAGGCAGGGGTCCTGTTATGGTGCACGAGACGAGGCGTTACAGGGAACATAACACGTCGTGACGAAGCTGGCCAGATGCAGGCGAGAATGCATTGAGGGATTGAAAAGTATACCGCAGATTTTGAACTCAAGCCCGCACGATAAGCTTGTTTCCATTTCATTCAGAATTCGCTTTCGCTCAAATGACCTTCTTTCTTCGTAAAAAATATTTCAATAAAAAGCAAATTTTTAAAGGAAAAATACCTGCTCTATGAAAGCAAACATTCAACGGGAACGATAAAGCAATTTCCCCGCGCTTGCTTTCAATTAAGTTCATGGAGCATTTCTGGAGCGAACAATAATTATTATAAGATGAGCACAGCGCCTGCGCACGGTGACTTAGAAAACTCTCCGAGCGTTAAGGCTGCGCTGCCTACACGTATGTAGCGGTGCATCTCTTATTCTCATAACACAAGTAATATAGTTAATAGTTAATATATAGTTAATAGTTAATAGATAATATAGTATGAAGAATGTGGAATAGTTAATATACAGTCATTTGCAAAAGTTTAAGACCACCCTCCGAATTTGGGTTTTTTGTATTAAAAAATGATAGTGAGGCAAAATATTCAAACTGTTTGTATTTGATGAGACAAAGTGAATAAATAACAAGCAATTTATGATACATTTGATATATTCAGAACCTAGTGTGTCCCTCTTTATTGTCAATAACAGCCTGGATTTGTCGTGGCATACTGCTGATAATATTCTGGCAGTACTCCTTGCAAAATTCTTTGCACCATACCAGCTTAATGCATTTTTCTGATGACTTCAAATTTGAAGGTTGCATTGCTGCTACCTTATCCTTCATGACTGACCACAAATTTTCAATGGGATTCAAGTCTGGGCCATTTTTAGGCCGGTCCAGCAATTCAATGTGGTTTGAGGTCAACAAATCTTTCACCTGCCAGGCCCGATGGCATGGAGCACCATCCTGCATGAAAATACTACACTGGTATATTCCCACGTGTAGTACAAGCTTTTCTTGAAGCAGCTTGAGGTACCCTGCTCCATTCATGGTTGTTTTCTGAGGCAGAAAGTACAATCCAGCTGTCCCATTATGGCTAAATGCCCCCAAACCATGACACTGGGTGGATGTTTCATGGTAGGTACTGTATATTTCTCTTCAAATCTTTTACCAACTGGTCGCCTAATGTGTTGATGGCGTAACCCAGACTGCTGAAATGCAATTTCATCTAAAAGCAACACTGTGTTCCACTTGGCAACCGTTCAATCTTGATGTCTCCAAGCAAAATTCAATCGCCTAATTTTCATGGCTGCAGTTAACTTTGGTTTTTGAGCAGGCGTAAAACTCTTTAGGTAAAATTCTTTGCTTAAACAGCGTGAAATAGAACTGATGCTCAGCTCACATCCTTTTTGAAGCAAAATTCCTTGAATTTTCTTACAGGAACTTGTTGGAGATCTTGCAACAGTGAGCTTCATGATGTCATCACGGCTGGTTGTTTTCCTCGGACGCCCCGACCTTTTCTTGTCTGAATAATAGCTATCATGTTCAAACTTGCGTATTGCATTGTTAACTGCAGTCTTGCTGCATCTCATCTTTAGCGAAATCTGGCGTACAGAATAACCTTCGTCATGTAAGAGCACAATTTGAGCCCTCTGGACTTCGGTAAGAGAAGCTTTTCTACCCATTTCTAATAAAAGAATATTCTGCTGTCTTGCAGCTATAATCTTCTCATGCAAGAGCTGGGAGGTAAATGATGCACGAACACACTCCTCTGATCGCCTGCGGCTACCGTTAGGCCCGCCGCAGGCTCAAACTTGTACATCACTCATCCAAAAAGGGTAATTTCCTGATTTAGTTCAAATTCTGTGGGTGGTCTTAAACTTTTGCAAATGACTGTATATTAATATTAACTATTCAATAGGCCTTTTTTAAGGATATTTATTGGTCTATTCCTTGGAATCACTTTCATCCCATGCTTATAACCTTATATGCATATATAATATTATATATAATACATATATCTTATATAATTTGTGACGATATTCACATGACTGGCTCATATATGAAATTATGCAGATATATTTGCATGATCAAATAAGGTGTACTAATGGACTTAGTTAATAAGAAGCCAATTTACTAAGCAAATAAATTTTGCACTTATTCAATAAATCTATCCTAATTGAAGGAATATGCTAATTTTTCTATGCTTAAGTACTTAAAACATAACCTGGTACATACAGAAATATTTTACACATATATATAAGGTTTAGAATTGTACTCGACATGTGCCCATGTTATATAAATACATTAAGAGGAATAAGTGAGACTTTGCATCAAATAGCAATGCTTTTCTCTCCTTCTGTGGGCCATTTTGATTTAGTTCGGGCCGGCAAAAGGGCGAATGTGCGCTATCATGCAGAAAATGTGTCACTATCTGGACAATTTGACCCATCCATATTCATGAGTGAATACATCTAAAACTTGATAGGGCGAATGTATGTATACGTCTCTACACCTATCGTATATATTATGATATAAGGATCTGTCCATATATATATATATACGTATCTGTGCTGTATCCATATATAGGATCAGTCTTGTGTTAAGCTTTGTTCACAACGGACATGAAGGAGCATTAGGATTTAACAAATTGAAATTTCTTTTTGAATCAACCGGCAAGGAGAGTTAATTTCACTGCTATATTTAATGCGTGTGTGCTTTTCAATGATTTCTTTTTGAATCTTAATTGCATAAAAAGTATGTAAAACAAACCTACCAAATTTTACTTCAGTTGCCTAAAATAAAATGTAGTATTGGTATGTTCTTTTCTAAACACGGTTCATGTGCTCTAAAGTAACATTTGTTTCAGATATAAAGTATATTAGGTAAACTCGACATTATTTTGAAACATATAATAGAGGTATGCTGCATGTGTGAGTCCCATTTAGATTCAAACAAAAAAGTCGACTGTGAAGTAGAGATTTCGAAAAGTCGCAATTATCAACGATTACATAGAAATTAAAGAGGAAGACGAAGGATTTTTCCTACTACCCCTAGCTTCACCGTTCAACGAAGAAAAATGTTCTGGCCTCAATCCATCAAACTCTTCTATAGCAATAAAAAACTTCACAGTTTTACGTGTTTTTTAAACCTGTTTTTCAACCCTAACTGTCACAAACACCGAAAGATCGGTTATCAGTTACCGCCGAGTTTATGGTTGAAAACCCTTGACCCTAAAAATCATTAATAAGTGAAATTATACATATTTTGACTGTATGAAGCAAGAAGGCCGAAACGAATGAATATCGTGCGCAGGTGAGGGCGGCCTGTTGTCCATTGTCTGGAGTGACGGTGGTGAGAATTGTGCAAGCGGTAAGACAATGGCTCTTACAAGACCTGCAACTTCTTGCAACCTTACAAGACGAACGAAATCACACAAAACTTTGGTCCAAATTTGGGCTACATTTATGTATAAACAGCCTTCGATCGTTGCGTTAAGCGACACGATCTTAAGCCCCTTCATTGTATTTTTTGTCGATCAGAAAACTGTTTCTCGTTCATCGATTATTTAGTAGCTGTTAGGTTTGCCTGAACGAGACCATGTTGGAAAAAGAAAGTAAATAAATACTATTAAACTAATAAAACTAATTGCGATAAGAATTAAATCGCAGGCTTCAGAAATATATTAATCAATGTCATTCATGCAGATACTAATTGATGATTTACGCAGCAGAACGCAAAGTCTTTAAAGGTTTGCAAAACGTCTCAGTTCGACATACATTCAGCACAAGTCCACAATTGTCATTATTTCAGATAGAGAATTATAATTCATTGTTATCTCATGATGGCACGATCGTTTTAGGCATAACAGCTAATTGCAGAATGACGTTATCATAACTATACCTGCATAATTTGTAAGTCCTTATGTCAACCCAAAAGCTTTCGAACAAAAAAAAAAAGGAAACAAAACATAAATTTTATATCACATTCAACCTAACTCATGTTCGTAAACAAGGCTGTCAGATACGCTATTTAAGGCATCACTATAAATGTTTTTTTTTTCTCTTCGCAACTCACGACCGCATAAGTCTGTCAGACGTAGATATCTTCGCAACTCACGACCGTATAAGTGACAGTCTGCATCTATAGAAGCGTTGAGTGCTGGCATATTCAGACAGAGACGTTGATATCTTCGCAACTCACGACCGTATAAGTCTGTCAGACGTTGATATCTTCGCAATTCACGACCGCATAAGTCTGTCAGACGTAGATATCTTCGCAACTCACGGCCGTATAAGTCTGTCAGACGTTGATATCTTCGTAACTCACGACCGTATAAGTCTGTCAGACGTAGATATTTTCGCAACTCACGGCCGTATAAGTCTGTCAGACGTAGATATCTTAGTAACTCACGACCGTATAAGTCTGTCAGACGTTGATATCCTCGCAATTCACGACCGCATAAGTCTGTCAGACGTAGATATCTTC